TTTGATGTCAGGCATATTGTAGATGTCACATGATGAGTAAGGGACACAAGCAGATGTTCAGCTTGTTCTCTATCATGTACGGTCAATAAGTAATGAATATATTGGCGAGGAATGTTCATGATCTGTTGGCAGCTACAGATTCTACGCACGTCTACACAACCAAGGTGTCACTTACAAATCTCACTTTCCGGATCAAAAATATATTTGAAATGGTCCTAACGACAAATAACGGACATAATGAGTTGTGAACTTTGGAAATTTCGTCTTTTCATTTGCATCAACATCAACATGGGCCGTCCGAAAGGAAGTAAGAACAAAAAAATCAACCATGAGGCTGGAGGCAACCCGAAGTCAAAGAAACTTCAAACTGCAAAGGAGGAGAAAGCTAAGAGAAGCCATGAGTACTTCCTCTCACGGCGACATGCTGGTACTCATTTTTTTTTTCAAAAGTGTGTTTTGTATGGTATTAGAAGCTATGGGGAATGATAAGTCTGTCCTAGTAATCAAGCGACAACGAGGGTGTATTCTTGGGTAAAGTAGTCAAGAAATGGAGATTACTGTGACCATCCTTGTTAGAATAAAGCAAGATGTGCTCTATCGTGAGTGCCTTTAGCGCTCAGAACAAACTCTCTGCAATCTAAATTCGTAATTGATTGTGCAACACTTTCACGACAATAGTTCTCCTGTGTCTAGGTATACTTTGAGTGAAATTGTTCCTATTTGATTAATGTTTGGCTTGAATTGATGATTCAATCACAAAAGTAAGTTCAACAATTTTCCCTTGGAAAATTCCTTGTTTACAGAACTTGATTCGACCTCTACAACAATTCTGTGTTGGATGCAGTACTTTGGGACATCTTGTATTATTCCCTACTGCATTGTACACAACATCGATATCTCACTTGTGTGGGGTCATTCCCTTTTTGTGTGGATGTAGCTTGTCCGACAGACTCGTCGTCCGGCATACTTGCGTCGAATCCCGACATCACGATCAAAGTCCGATCGTACGTGTCGAAAACTTTGTACTTGAATAGTTTCTTTTTGGAACATAAAAACTCATATTTCGTCATATCCCAACACACTCCTGCCATTGTGACAATCACCATTTGCAACAATGGGACATGCTCTCATTCACTGTTTATTTTTGTTTTCTATTTTCATTTTTGAACATATACATACTTGTCTGACCTATTCTTGTGGACCAAGAATCAGATCCCTGAACTTGCGAAACTTCTCACCTTGCAATGGCTTAGTCATGAAATCCGCAATCATATCGTTAGTTGGACAGTATTCAATCTTAACATTTCCTTTCTCAACTTGATCTGTGATAAAGAAAAAACGAATATTGATAGCTCGGCTTCTTTTGCCCGCGCTCTTGCCACCATTCTCTTCCAGTAGAATCGCGCTTTTATTATCCTGATACAAGATATTTTTCTCGATCAGATACCCTTGCCACTCCATGAACAACTTCATCCATAGTATCATCGTGACAACATCGTCAACAGCAATCAGTTCCGCTTCCGTACTGCTTCTGCTGTTAAGCTTTTGCTTCTTCGACATCACTTGAGCTGCACCTCCTCCAAAGGACAGAGAGCCGCCAGTATGGCTCTTGAAATCTGGATGCACCGCAAATGATGCGTCGATCATCCATTTCATGACTCGTAGTGATTCTGCGGAAAGTGTCAGATGATACAACGATGTACACAACAAATATCGCATCATGCGAACACACTTCTTCCAATCAGACTCTGTAGGTTCTCGAACTCTCGAGGCAAGAATAGTAATCGTTGGATGGATATCCAAACGAGCTCTCTTAGAGACATAAAGTCCCCTTGCAACAGTAGTGTGAAAGATTTGACGGTACTCAGCATTGGGTAACTTTCCTTTACCAGCTTCCAGTAAGTCGTTACCAGCTGGTGTTTCCTGCTTTGAATGCTTGTTGAACTTGACAGGAAAATCTTCCAACATGTTCTTGACATAGTCGTCCATGCGGATTTTGAGTTTTCCTTTCACCGAGAAATCCAAAGTCATTCCAAGATATCTGTGTATCTTTCCTCTGACGATTGTACATGCCTTGATCGAACCATATCTCATGTTCAACTACTCAGCAAATTCGTCATTTACTTTCGGATCCATGTGACTTGACATAAGATCGTCAACATGAAATCTGATAGTTTGCTGTTTTTTATTAACAACTTTGTTAGCAACACACAGGTCATACCGATTGAAAACAAATCCCTTTGCCTCCAAATCATTTTGAAACTGATTATAGAATAGGAGGCGCTATTGTAACATCCCATATATAGCATGCAGTACCCGCACATAGATTACTCGCTTTCCGTTCTCTAATACAACGTATTCGCAATACTCTGGGGCCATGTCAATCAAAATCTGGACCTTCATGCCAGTGATTTTCATGTAGACGCGATCTTCTCCTTCCTTAGCTTCAGGCATATAAGTTTGAATGAAAGCGTTAGGCACGTCCATTGTCATTATATCTCTACCTTCATGTGCATCAATAACACAAGTAGTGGTGATTGCTTCTTGGAGCGGAGGGTGATTGATCTTGCTACTGTACAGCATAAATGCATATTCTATGGTCAAAGCAGTGTTTGCATTCACTACCGCAGCAAACAAGACATGAAAGGTATCAATAAATGCAACAATCAACATTGTTTGAAAGCAGGAGGGGAGTGGGATTCATCTTGGACCTGCCCTGCTAAAATTGAGATTCGGAATATTTCTGACTTGCCTATTCCACCAATACGGTCACATCATAGTTCAATACAGCAGCAAGCAAGACAAGACAAGTATCAAGCTTGTTATTCCAAATCAGCTCACGGCTAACAGCTTCTACGTACATGTACATGTCGTCAGCTGGAACCAAATCCAGGCTTTTTTCTTTCAAAAAGCAAATCAAAATATGAGGGGAGAAATTCAGGGGATATGAGATACCTTAATAATCACGCAGATCCAGTCCTACCGGTAGATCGGATGGTCCTGGATCATCAAGTAAAGGATAAGCAAATTAGAAACGATCCATCCAGCCACTTGCGATCTGATCCGCAAACCTGCTTTTCAAGAATGGACACAACCTAACCTAACGGTTGCACTTCTATGGATCCGTAGGACATCTTGGTCGATTGCATTTCTCTCGCATAAAAAACCCTGAAACCCAATCCACAATGCTGGCGTATTTTCACAGCTCGCGTGAAGCTGATGATTCATTCTCTGCTTGTTGCACTGGAGTCTGCCGTTCTTGCTTCAGGCGCCTGTCATGTCGTCATCTTTATCTAACCAGGTCGCAACTGTTGTGGTGCTGCTTGTTTGCTTTGCGGTTCCTTGGCCTTTGTCTGCAAGCTTGAAGTTGATGTGATGTTGATGCAAAACAATGACACATATTACGAAATGCTTCAGACCAGTGCAGCTCACGACAAAAGAGCTAGTGACATATCCGGGTTAGAAGTAGTTTATTTTTCTATTTTCAAAAACTAATTGTCTGTCCTCCGTCATATTCATATTTCACAATATTTTAGGAGCAGCCGAAGAAGTTGTTGTACATCTTCTTTGGAGTTGGTCTTGTTGACTTGCCTTTCAATGTAGAGGCGGCCCAAAGATTGCTTTGGCATGATTGATCGCTTCTTCGGTGATAGGACAGTTCTTGATGAGACCAGATCAGATTGCATACTTCAGACTTTTGGTGCTTGGAGCATTGAGTATGTGCATTGCACTTCTCGCTTCCATCGCAGCCTTGACTTGTCTTGGAAAGAATCCTTCCTTGTTCTTTTGAATGGTTGCCATCTTGGAGGTCATCTCGAGTCCAGCATATCCATTCTGTTTGGAAAGTTCAAAATGTGGTTGAATATTTAAGTTGTTTAACTGACAACAGTACATCGCACTTGTCTCTTTGGCACCTGGTTTGACATTCACTCCAAGTTGCTCCAACACATACACACCCTTACAATTCACAAATCGCATCTTTCTGTTTCCATCACAATGCACAATAAAAGCATTGTCAGCATCAGTATCCATAGTAATGCGGTATCCCGCAGCAATCATCTCGCGCATAGCAAGTACATTGACAATTCCATCTTCATTTTGATAAACTGGAGGCGGAAATCTTCGTAGAAAACATTCTTCGTCAAGAACTCTGCTGCCCACATTAGTGTATATATCAAGTTCCTTGTAAGAATGACGGAGTCCATGCATGAGCTCACCATTACAAATGGTGATGTTTGTACAACCACTGTCCATGATGACATGATTGTACAACCCAAAATGATCTCTTTTCTTTCTGCTGCTTTGAATAAACTGCAGACCTCGGTCTGCTTCAGTAGCAAGATCAGGCAAATCTTCATTTTCACCAGCATGGTGCCAGTCGGCTTGAAGTTTGACATTTGTCGTACCAGCAGGACAGGGAATAAGATAGACATCATTGCCATTCTCCTCCTTTCCCTTGATAGCATTGTGGAAGACATTTGACATATCGTAATAGGCAGTCTTCACGATCTGCGGAGTTTGAGCTTGAGTTGCATCAAATCCTTGGCGCACTTGAGCACCACTGAATCCTTGGTGGCCGTGTTGCATTCTGCTGAACGCACCATTAGCATTCATTGAGTAAGGGACAGTCACAGTGCCGCCACCTTGAGTTGGAATCTGCATGAGCTGCATTCCCAAAGGATCTTGCATCATTTGATTACCTGTAGTACCAGCAAGTTGAAAAGGTGGGTTAATGCTTCCTGTAGCACTTGATGCTCCACTTGTGGATGCTGAAGCACCAGGAACTATAGTTGGAACAGTAGCTGGGACAGTTGCTCCAATCTGATTAGGATTGAGCTTCTTCCCATAGTCAACATATTGATCCTGATTTTTCCTTTTTTCCTTTTTTCCTTTTTTTCCTTTTTTTCCTTTTTTCCTTTTTTCCTTTTTTCCTTTTTTCCTTTTTTCCTTTTCCTTTTCCTTTGCCTTTGCCTTTGCCTTTGCCTTTGCCTTTGCCTTTGCCTTTGCCTTTGCCTTTACCTTTACCTTTACCTTTACCTTTACCTTTACCTTTATTAGGCTGGTCTGTCTCAAGAATCGTTCCTTGAAATGCATCAAGTTTTCGGTTGTTCCTTGCTTCATAGCAAAAAACTTACTCAGCATCAGCACTCTTCTTCATGAATTGTTCAATAGGTTTCAAGAGTTTGATTGGATCTTCAAGAGTAGTCCTGAAATCGGCTTCACCTCGAAGCTTGATATCCATCGCCTTTGTCACAAACATGAGCATGATGTTTGATTTGACGGTTCTCTTGTTTGTCTCGAAGTAGGCTGATCTTTGCATGTTCTCGTCGAGCTTTGCAGAATAGAGAATCTTGTTTTGGGCCATCTCTGTTTCTCTTGAAACAGCTTCAGTTTGAAGTCAATCGACTTCCCATTGCAAATCGATTTCACCATGTCTTTGGAGCACTTCATTCCGGAAGCTTGAACATAGTCGATCACTCTTTCTTCAGCATCTTCGTACAACAATCTTGCCTTTCCATCGTTTTCATCTTTTGTTGAAAATAGATGTTCCACAACTGTTGAACTTGGATTGCTCTTGACTTTCTGAGGAGTCACACGTCCTCTTCCACCACCGGATGAAGAACGTCCCATCATCAACGAATCACTCACTCCTTTGTAGATAAGGCAGTGCTGTTCTTGACGTATTTTTGTTTTGTTGCCTTTTGTGATTGAATGTTAGAATAAAGCAAAATGTGCTCTATCGTGAGTGCCTTTAGCGCTCAGAACAAACTCTCTGCAATCTAAATTTGTAATCGACTATACAACACTTTCACGACAATAGTTCTCCTGTGTAAGGTAGACGTTGAGTGAAATTGTTCCTATTTGATTAATGTTTGGCTTGAATTGATGATTCAATCACAAAAGTAAATTCAACGATTTTCCCTTGGAAAATCCCTTGTTTACAGAACTCGATTCAACTTCTACAAGGATTCTGTGTTGAATGCAGTACTTTGGGACATCTTGTATTATTCCCTACTGCATTGTACACAACATCGATATCCCACTTGTATAGGGTCATTCCCTTTTTGTGTGGATGTAGATTGTCCGACAGACTTGCGTCCCGCATACTTGCGTCGAATCCCGACATCACGATCAAAGTCCGATCGTACATGTCGAAAACTTCTTACTTGAATAGTTTTGTTTTGGAACGTAAAAACTCATATTTCGTCATATCCCAACATTGAATCTTTTCAAAATGAAGTCAAATGCATAGCAAATGCAACGTTAGTAGTTTGATGTGGCTCTGCAGAATATATCACTTCAGTAAAAACCTCTGGCTATTTGAATAGTAACCCAACCTTTATGTCTGTAGAAAGGCACGTGAGAGTGCTTATGTGGACCTGATGACTAAGGTCTAGTTCTAGTTCTGTACTCAACCAAAAGAGCTTCTAGAGTCCCAGTACCGTTGCAAAAAGAATGAACTTAATGGCATTGTGCACATTTATAACATTCCTTGTCCCTTTTTTTCTCCAAGTTTGCGAGAAGACTCTGCTGTAGTGTCAGTAGACCCAGTACCAATATTGTTGGATCTAGCGCATGCCATTCAATTTGGGAATCTCCATGTGGTCCCGTCATCTTCACTGGTTGTTAGCGTTTGTCTGCCAATTGAGCAAAAAGAGCACTCTCTATCCATTGTCTTGTGGTCAACCCACCCTGTCTGCTGGCTGCAAGTAAACAAGCAAAGGGTCTCCCTGAGACTCTGAGGGCAAACTGCAGAAAAATTCATATATATCATTCTCCGTTTTATTTTTAGAATTTCACATTTGCAGCACAGTAAAATGTATCATTGTTTGGATGATTTGTCACCAACATATCTGCAACACAATGACAACATTCCGACCATGCCATTGAAAAAAAAGGGTTCCTTTGCTGACTCCAGCAGTGCCTCAAAGATGAAACATCTATGTTTCCAATCATCTTTTGGCTTCTCCATCAACCAAAGACAATGAAACAAATCCTTCTCTCTGCCAACAACCAACTGAACCATAACAGGATTTTCTGATCGCGGTCAGTTCAATAGAGTCAATGACCAAACTGAAAAATCAAGCTTACCAAGGTTGCAATGGCTGTAATTGAAAGTGTGCGATTCATGAAGTTTCCAGATTGCAAAGTTGTTAATCTTAACAGTGTGAAAACACAGATGATGTACACACATTCAGAAAAACCTTGAAGAGGCTCTATAAAAGCGGCTCACCATGCTTTCCTCTCTGCAAATAATACATAACAAAAAATGGTGTCAGATGTTTCAATAAGTGCTTACGAGGAAACGAGTTTTGACTTCCATTGAACAATGAGGCTCATTTATTTACTGCACAACACCGCCGTACATCCCTATCCAAGTTTTTCATCAGTTGTGTACTAAGAACTGAAACTGTAGTATTTAGGTGGTTAACCATCATTCTATAAGCTTTAAAAAGAGCGAGACATTTGGTTGTTAGTATCAAAAGGTTAAAAAAAGGATGGATGATTTGTATGAATTTTGATGTTGTTTGCCCTCAGAGGCTATGGAGAGTCCTTTGCTTGTTCACGTGCAACAGACAGAAGTAATGGACGACCCATAGATGATGGCTCTAGAGAGTGGGTGATAATGACCACATCGACTCTCCCAAAAGAAGAGAAAACTGACTTCACAGAAAACTACGGGATATCCCAGGGAGTTGCAGGGAGTTTGCATCTGACATGTGTGACGTGTTGTAACTTGTTATTTATTCCAAATCAAACCATGGATGCCAAACAAAACAAAACAACACTGAACAGAGCGGAGGTTTCCAAACAAAACCAAACGACACAAAACCACACGTCTCATGTTTTTTTGGAATAACACCAAACAAAATGAAACGACGCAATTTTGTCGTTTGGTTTTGTCTGGTTTGGTTTGATTTTGTTTTGTTTGGTTTTGTTTCCTTTCGTTTTGTTTGGTTTTGATATATTCTAAAATTTTGTTTGTTTGGTTTCTATTGGTTTCAATATATTGAAAAATCATTTGTTTGGTTTCAATATACAAAACAATTGAAAATATTCCGTGCTGTTGGTTCTTCGACTTCCTTTTTGAAACAAACAATTTATCGAAACCAATCAAAACTAAACAAACATTTTTTAAGAATATATTGAAAGCAGACGAAACCAAACAAAAACAAACGAAACCAAACAAAAAAAAAACAAAAAAAAAACAAACCAAACCAAACCTAATGAGACCAAATGAAACCAAACCAAACCAAACCAAACCAAACGACACAAAATCATGTGGTTCTATATGCGCTATACAAGAATGTTCAAGTGGGAGGTACCTATACAAGTGGGATATCGATGTTGTGTACGATGCAGTAGGGAATAATACAAGATGTCCCAAAGTACTGCATTCAACACAGAATCCTTGTAGAAGTCGTATCAAGTTCCGTAAACAAGGCATTTTCCAAGGGAAAGTTGTTGAATGAATCATCAATTCAAGCCAAACATTAATCAAATAGGAACAATTTCACTCAAAGTATACCTAACACAGGAGAACTATTGTCATGAAAGTGATGTATAGTCAATTACGAATTGAGATTGCAGACAGTTTGTTCTGAGCGCTAAAGGCACTCACGATAGAGCACATTTTGCTTTATCCTAACATTCAATCACAAAAGGCAACAAAACAAAAATACATCAAGAACAGCACTGCCTTATCTACAAAGGAGTCAGCGATTTGTTGACAATGGGACGTTTATCATACGGTGGTGGAAGAGGACATGTGACTCATCAGAAAGTCAAGGACAATCCAATTTCAAAGGTTGTGAAACATCTATTTTCAACAAAAGATGTAAACAATGAAAAGGCAAGATTGTTGTTCAAAGATGCAGAAGAAAGACTGATTGACGATGTCCAAGCTTCTGGAATAAAGAGCTCCGAAGACATGGTGAAATCGATTCAAGATGGAAAGTCAATCAACTTTGATTCAAGTACACCAAAGTTGGATGCTCCAGTTGCAAGAGAAACAGAGATGACTCAAAACAAGATTCTCTATTCTGCAAAGCTTAACGAGAACATGTGAAGATCAGCCTACTTCAAGACAAACAAGAGAACCAACAAATCAAACATCATGCTGAAGTTTGTATTAAAGGCAATGGATATCAAGCTTCCAGGTGAAGCCAATTTCGCGACTACATCAAAGATCCAATTGAACTTTTGAAATGTATTGAACAATTCATGAAGAAGTGTGCTGATGCTGAGCACGACTTCTTGGATTCCTGAGAAGCCAACCAAAAGTTATTTGCGATGAAGCAAGGAACAAACAAAAACTTGAGGCATTTCAAGGACGGATTCTTGAGACAGGCTGAAGTCTTACAAGATCTATATGGCGTTGCCTGGTTCCGACATTTTGCAGTCAAGACAAAAGCGCATGCTGCTATCGCTAGCACCAATACTGCTGCTAAAGACAAGTTCAAGGATGATATCTTTCAAGCCGCTCTTGCAACAGGATTTCTGTGCAACTGCCATCAAACAAGAACAGCTCCTCTGATGCTGGATCTTCAGACAAACTATTGCAGGGAAGTTGCTTATGATCCAAATACGGTCAGCAAAGCACAAAATATGTTGAAGATTCACATGGATGTGATTAAAAATCGGGGAGTGAACGTATACCAAGGAAGAGACCAACCAAATAAAGGTAAAGGTAAAGGTAAAGGTAAAGGTAAAGGTAAAGGTAAAGGTAAAGGTAAATGGAAACCAAACGATGGAAAGAAGAAGGCAGCATGTTATGTACGTGGCAATGAAGACTATATGTCTCCAAAATGCCCAGACAGACTGCTTCCAAAGATCCAATGGAAGAATCAGGATCAATATGTCGACTATGGCTCAATCTTAATCAGATTGGAGCAACTGTCCCAGCTACTGTTCCAGCTAAAGTTCCTGGAGCTTCAGCATCCACAAGTTGAGCATCAAGTGTTGCGGGAAGCGTTAACACACCTTCCCAGCAAGTGGAGCATCAAGGGCTGCAGGAAGCGTTAACACACCATTGCAACTTGCTGGTACTACAGGTAATCAGATGATGCAAGTTCCTTTGGGAATGCAGCTCATGCGGATTCCAACTCAAGGTGGCGGCACTGTGACTGTCCCTTACTCAATGAATGCTAATGGTGAAATTGTGTTTAGCAGAATGCAACTTGGCCACCAAGGATTCAATGGTGCTCAAGTGCGCCAAGGATTTGATGCAACTCCAGCTTGAACTCTGCAGATTGTGAAGACTGGCTATTACGATACGTCAAATGTCTTCCACAATGCTATCAAGGGAAAGGAGGAGAATGGCAATGATGTCTATCTTATTCCATGTCTAGCTGGTACAACAAATGTCAAAATTCAAGCCGGCTGGCACTATACTAGTGAAAATGAAGATTTGCCTGATCTTGCTACTGAAGCAGATCGAGGTCTGCAGTTTATTCAAAGCCGCAGAAAGTAACAAGATCCATTTGGGTTGTACGATCATGTCATCATGGACAGTGGTTACAAAAACACCACCATTTGTAATGGTGAGCTCATGCATCGACTCCGTCATGCTGAGAAGGAGCTTGATATGCACACTAACATGGGCAGCAGAGTTCTTGGGAAGATTTCCGCCTCCAGTTTATCACGATGAAGATGGAATTGCCAATGTACTTGCTATGCACCAGATGATTGCTGCAGGAAACCGCATTACTATGGATAATGATGCCGACAATTCTTTTATTGTGCATTGTGATGGAAACAGAAAGATGCAATTTGTGAATTGTAAGGGTGTGTATGTGTTGGAGCAACTTGGAGCAAATGTCAAACCAGGTGCCAAAGAGACAAGTGCAATGTACCGTCACCAGTTAAGCAACTTAAATAATCAACCCCATTTCGAACTTTCTTCAAACAAACAGAATGGATATCTGGACTTGAGATGACCTCCAAAATGGCAACCGTTCAAAAGAATAAGGAAGGATTCACTCCAAGACAAGTCAAGGCTGCAATGGAAGCAAGAAGTGCGATGCACATACTCAATGCTCCAAGCACCAAAAGTCTGAAGTATGCAATCCGATCTGATCTCATCAAGAAGTGTCCTATCACTGAAGAAGCAATCAATCATCCCAATACATTGAAAGGCAAGTCAGCAAGACCAACTCTGAAGAAGACGTACGATGACTTCTTCAGTCCACCAGAGGAATTGTATCAACATAATCAATCTATTACCGTCTATATTGATCACATGGAGATCGAGAATGCTAAGTTTCTCACCTGCATTGATACCACTGTGCATTATCGCTCATGTATTCATGTGCAGAACCTGAAGACTGACCCTGTATTTGAAGCATTGGATAAGATATTCCGCCGCTACAACAAGGCAGGCTTTCAAGTCAAGATCATCAAGTGTGATTGGGCTTTCATTCCTCTCACGGATGATATGCTAGACAATATGGGTGTTACTATTGACCTGACTGCAGCTGGAGACCATGAGCCTACTGCTGAGAGAAAGACATCTGAAACAGTAGGTATGACCTTTTTAGGAAGGAATTGCCCAAAATTCCCCATGGTCTGCCCTTTTTGCGGCATGCCTTGTCTTTCCCAAAAGTCCCTTGTCCTTTTTTTCACAAGAAGCCCCCTTTTTTTGACACTCCTTTGGGGCAAATGACACACAAGAGTCGTTATGACAACCATGAGACATTGGTTGTCAGGTCCTTTTCTTCCAAAAGGTCATCGTTGTCCTGCACATCCCAACATGATGTCCTTTTTTCACAATCCATGGACAAAGAGGCTATTGATCAGCATTTTATCACTCCCCACACTCCTTCTTATGGCACTTTTTTGTCATGGCAAGCCACCATACTGAACCACAAAGCAAGAGGCCCAAATACGAAGATGTTCCACCACGGTGTCTATGCTGTAAAAGAAACTTCAAGGGGCAATATAGCAACAAACAAGGGAAGCTTATTTCATCAGGTCTTTCACAACATCTTAGGTCAACCGCAAAACCAGGTTTTAAGAAGGACCCCTGCTTTGCCCGGGCTTATAGAAATGAAGTCTGCAAGTCTGTTGATGAGATTGACTTTAGAGACTCCCGTGTGTTCCAAGCTAATCACCATGCCAATCCCCTTCCAGTTGGGGATTCTGTAAGCGATATCACTAGCCCTACTGATATTATGCCAGGCTTTGAACCTGACGGTGGATCAGAAGAAGACACTGCTGCCATGGAAGAAGAAAACGACAAGACAGAAAAGAAGAAGGGGTCATTTGGAATGCTTCGGGAAGCCACTCTGTTGGCTGATTTTCAGGAGTTTGTTTCAAAGACTCTTTTTGCCCATTATTCTGCTCCAGAAAGCAAGCTTAGCAACCAACAAATCAACAGCCAGACATGCCCATCTAAACTTCCACCTCAAGTATCTCAGGAAGGGCTGAGGAATTACATCCACTCCCGTCTCAACGACAATTTGGATCCTAGTTTTCAAACAGAAGATGATGGAGAATCTGTCAACTTTGAGTATGATGATGACCATGAGGAGGAGGAATCCAGAGAACTTTCCATAGAGTCAGAAGCAAGGAACAATCCAAATGGGTCCTTTGTAATGGATCTTGATGTAGGATCCCAGTATGGGGCTAACTACCTTCCTAATGATATTACATTGCCAACTATTAATTTTGAAGTTGATGATCCACATGCCCCCCAACCACCTCTTCACAACATCCCCAATCCTGATTCTTCCAACTACCTATTGGACCGACTGAAACAAGAAGAGTACAACAGGGAATTCATGCCACCATCTATCAGCACCCAAATGGAAGCTGACCTTCACCTCCTTTGTCTCGCAAGAAAACACGGATGGTCAGCCTCCTCTGTTTCTGACATTCAAGCATGGGCCCACAAAGGGACCAAGAAAGAGCCTAATCTTTTTTCTGTCCGACCTGACCACTTGGTCTGAATTGTTTACTCAGTTTCAACTGCACTTTGGGGTAGAAAAGACCAATGGTTTCCAGGAACACATGATTGACTGGCTCCCTGACAATTGGCCTACTAGTCTCTTTATCCGCTCATTCTTGGATTGTGTATCAATCGATCGATCAATCGATCAATCGATCAATTGAATGAGCTTCTGACAAACCAAGATGTGACGGGTCCCAACGGTGAGAATATCTCCTTGCCCCATCCAACCAACCCCTTCAAGTTCAGACCAGATCCCCAAGACAAACCCGATTTTGTCAGTGAAATGCATCATGGCACCTGGTGGCGTGACACCATGGAAATGAAGTGTGATGAGGGCAAAAGGGAAATGCTGGTGCCCATCATACTGTATGGGGATGAAATCACCACGGACAAGCAAGGAAAGCTAACAGCCTGTCCCTTCAACTTGACACTTGGAATATTGGACACTGACACCCGAAATAAAGAGCAAGCCCATACCACATTCTTCTACTACCCCGATCCTACTGTGGAGCTTGCTCATCATAAGAAAAAAGCAACCGCACATGACAAAATGGTAAACCTTCAGAACAGCCTTGCAGTGGCACTGGCCGACATCACTAAATGGACCAACAGTGATCAAGGACTACGTTGGAAGCTCAAGTACAATGGAGAAGAATTCCAGGTCAACATGAAATTCTCCGTTGCCTTCCTCATTGGTGATACTGACATGCATGACAAGCTTTGTGGTAAGACAGGTGGTAGCCAAACCCATGGCATGAAGTCTCATTGTCGGCATTGCAATTGTGCAACCAAGGATCTTGTAAGCCCCAAGGAGAAGCATACTTGGATCCTGTTTGATCCCAGCAAGGTAGATCCCACATTGGATGGACACACTGCTGAATACTTTAGCAGTATAAGCCACAGCATTGTGAACAACGCCTTTGATCCCATCTGCTTTGGTGTGAATTTCCGCAAAATTCATTGGGGAACTCCAGCACAAACACTGCACATGCATCAAAAAGGGGGGATGGTGCGGGTTTTAGAATCTGATCCCTCTCTTGCAGCTAAGGCCGAATTTAAAAGGTGGGTGAAGAAAACCTTGGAAAGTCTGGACATCATTGGCCATCAATATGGGGCCTGTCTTGGAAGGCAATCGGATCGCAAGAAGCCCAGGACCAAATTCAATAACTCATTGTTTGACAAGACCAAGAAATGTGGACACGAGCAGGCTGGTTTTTGTTTGTGCTTGTACCTTGCTATGATATCTGACCAGGGCCGATTTATCATGCTCCTGGAGCGTACCATGTATCCCACTTTTTACAAGGATCAGGTGGGTGCCTTTGAGTTAGTCTTGACAATGGAGCAATGGCTGAAGAAGAAAAAGTACCTGGCAAGGCATGCCCTTAACCCAGAAGGACTGGGGAAGGTCTTTGACTATTACACTGATTGGATAAGGGAGACTACCTTTCAAAAAGGCATGGGGGCTCTCTTGATCAAGAATCATCTGATGCTTCACGTCCCCCTCTACATGTTGCACTGGGGGCCTCCTTGTGGATGGGATTCTGGTCCCAGTGAACGGGCTCACAAGACTGAGCAGAAGCAACCAGCACAAAGAACCCAAAGACGGCAGCACAGCTTTGTCAAACAATTGACTGCAAGGTACAGCGAAATGAGACTGATAGCCCTTGCAGCTCGTTTTTTCTTCATGAGGAGCCCCCAGAGAATGAATCTAGATTGGAACCAAGAGCCATTGAAGGATGGGGGAGTTGCCCCTGGTGGTGCCAGGTTTTCTCTAGGGTTCAGCAAAACAGGACCAGGAATGAAGTGGCTTGATGGCAGCAAAACTAAAGCAAACTACCTTCAAGAAGTTATCAATCTTGTCTTTGAGAAGCTGTTGCCTCTTGCAGACAGTGACAAGATCAAGGGTTTCTCTGAGGTTAAGAAGGCAATTGACTCTGAGCCAATTTGTTTCAGGGCCCACCCCAACTACAGATCCAAATCTCGGCAAGTCACTGACACTTGGCACGACTGGGCAAAGTTTGTTGCGCCACATCATGGGGATGCCCACACTCCCGGACAAATCCTAATGTTCATCAGGATGCCCTTCACAAATGATGAGGTGATCCACAATGGGATCCGGCTCCAATCCAAACAAGTGCATGCTGTTGTGAACCTTTTTGTGGATCCGTCACGGCCACCATTTCCCAACTTTGATACTCCAATTGTGAAATGGGGAAAGACAGAGGAAGGAAGCATGTTCTTTTTTTGCAGTTGATAGTCATTATCTTTCAGCCATTTCCACTTCCCCTTGTATGGCATGCTATATAAATTCAAATTGTTCTCATCATCGTAGAACTCTTCTTGTAGCCAGTCATCAATATCTTCGAGAACGTTCCATTGATTGTCCTTGGAACCGCAGATTTTCTGACAAATCTGCCCCTCTTCATTCAAGTCATACAGGGACCAAGAGATGTTTGGATATACCTCCGGAAAGTGGGAGGGAAATTTTCCCATCTCATTGTCAACATCAGTGCTGTCTGGGTTGGTGTCATCTTCCAATGTTTGTTGTGACAGAGAGGTGCACCTATCCAGGACAATACTAGAAATGTCTCTTCTGTAACTTTCCAATCCCATTTGTGTGGAAACAATTTGGAGGATTTTCTTGACATTGTTTCCTTCCAAAGCTACTTCTCTGCTCCCAACCTTCAGCTGGTTGCTTGTTGATATTGGGAAGAATACACGTTTCAGGTGCTTTCCAGGCTTTATCAATCTCACCGAGATGGCCAACCGAGTGAAATGTAGCAGGTCATTGATTCGAAATGGATGCTTCCAGATCAATTCCATCTGCTGGCATCGTTGGATCATGACATTCTGCAGGAATCCAAGGTTTAGGTCTTCTGGAGACAACGACCACCTTCTTTGTTTCCAATGCTGTTGATCCATGCACAGTGCTCAATCAAGAGACCAACCAAGACACAGGTTCTATCTTCTGCCTTGCCTTTGACCAATTGCGGATCTTTGCCAAAGACCTCATCAACACCAGAGTACCTCAACATTGGCCAATCTAGCCACCCTCTCCTTTCTTTGGCGGGTGGCTTCCAAGCACAGCTCTACCATTAGATCCATCTTGTTGAAGGGTCCCTTGGCACATTTTTGCAAACGATCAATGACCGGGGAAAGTTGAATGTAAGGAGAAATGCATGGGTGAACTTTCAGCATGCTCATCAGATGACGGTTCCCAAAGTGAAGCTTTGGGACCTGGAGTTCCACAAGATTACCTGGCAAACACTGTGAGAGAAAATAGTGCTCCATGTTCCCAATCAAAGGAATCTTGCTGTAAGCCAAATGCTAATGGAAGTTCCAAGTTAGATGTCTTTGAACTTCAACAAGCTGACAGGTTGCTGATTTGGCCAACAACTGATTTGAACTGCTAATCCTTTGGGATTCACAGCTAATGGAATTCCGGAAGTAGCAAAGTAATTGGAATAGATACTTCTTTGACGGATCTTCAGTGTTGGCCAGTGTCACACTGAAAGCTGCCGACTTGCTGTATTGGTACTTGCAAGTATCAAATCCAATGTCACCTGTGGGAACGGGATTGGCCAGATCCTTGTGTAGATGATGGTGCGGAAATTCTGATATCAGTTCAGCCGAAGGTGTGACTTTTTTGAATTGGGGAACCATCGAAAACTGAGAATGGGACCAATCTCCAGACTCAATCTGCAGGTCATGCCGAAGCTGCTTTGCATAAGCGGAATCTCGGATCAGGTCGCCTCCTAACAGTGGCATCCCCGCGGCTATTTGCATGCCTTGGCTACAGGCCCACACCATTTTAGTCAAGTCACCAATGACGCTGAGAAACAATTGCCTTCCCACTGGGTTGTCTTTGAAGTACTTATCCAGGGGCTTGAACCCAGTGTGAGGATCCGGGCAATTGTTGCTACCATAGCAAAAAGCCCCCGCCCCCAAGCTAAGTCGCCTTGCAATAGGTGCTCGACTGCAGTCTGCTACCCCACAACACATTAGAGTCTGCACCAAGAATGACCAGTGCTGTTCAACCTGTTTCAACAAATCCCTGTGCTTGATCCATATGGGTGAATCACCCCTAATTGCATGTAGAATATCATTCATGTCAATAAAGGTGGGATACTTTTTCCCAATCACCATGTCCACGGACCCTTGATCACTTTCCATTTTGGCCTTGTCTTCATAGATCTCTCGTTTATGAGGATGGAAAGAGAAATCCATCCCCAAATAAATTTCGCAGGGCGCAAGGTGGAGACGGTAGCTTCTTTGTTGGGTGTGGACAATAAATTAGGAGAATACATCCTCCATTTGCTCAAAGTTGCATACAGCAAGATTGCCAACTTGTATGTGGGATTTTATGACACTTGTTTGGACTCCAGGATCACCAGCAGCAGTATTGTTGTTGTCATTTTCATCATCATCCTTGTTGGCATCTTCATCATCGTCATCACTGTCATCTTCATCATCATCCTTGTCGCTGTCTACATCATCATCATTGTCATCATCTTCACCATCCTCTACATCACCATCTTCATTGGTGGCATCGTCCTCCTTTTTGTCTCCGCCAGCTGCATCACAATCTTCTCTCGCCTGTTTCTGTTGTCCCATGGTGCCAAACATTAATGAAGTCATTGTTTTCTTGAGAATGTTCTTGTCTTTCCGCTTCATTTCTCTAGGATCAGAGTTGACATACAGGAAAAATATCCGGGCAAGAACCAAGGACTTCCAGAGCCCCCACGGTCTTTTCTGGTTCTTTTTCAGTCCGTCTTCCGTGATGGAATAATGCTGGTTCCGCGAAAAGATTTTTGCCAATCTTTTCATTTCCCCCGCCATAATATCCACGGACTCCTAGGGTTTAGTTTGGAGTGCCCACTTTCCAACTTGTTCTGCAAAGGCGGTTGCAGCAGATGGATCATGTGGATCTTTCCAAAATTTGTCAAGCTCTGTCTTGAACTTCTGGATCCGCTCCGGACAGTGATATACAACACCAATGTCCCTCAACAACTTAATAATGTCAGACTTTGTTTTGCATCGGCCGGCCGTCATGTTTTGGCAGTACACCAAAAAGCTTTGCTCGTGCACAGCTCCTAAAGGACCAGCAGTGGGACTGAATACATACTTGATGATCTGAAAGGAAAGCCATGTGATCTCAACCTTTTCCATGGTGTCTTTACGATATTTCTCAACACCAGAAAAGGTGAAGGGCTGGCTGGTAGAGGAGTCCAAACTAGAGCTGGAATCACCATCATTTGTTTCCTCACCTGATTTGTCACTTGGCTCCCGTTTGGATTTGATCAAGTAGCTGCTGTATAGCTTTTTGTCTTTGGATATTGCCTGCAGCTGTTTCTGCATCTCACCAATATCGCGTCGTGTTTTGTTTACCTTGAATTGATATCTTATCCTTTAGTGTAATCTCGAGCGTTCACCCAAGAATAATTGTATTCTGTCAGATTAACAGTCGCAGTTACTCACCATCAGCTAACTGCCGCCGTTTTTTCCACAGAAAAACGACCTCTGCTTCCTTCAGAAGCACATTTACAAGCTTTTGCCACGCCCAAACTTGCGATCTGGCCCAGTCCTTTCCGACACCTACAGTCAACGACCAGAGTTTACCTCTTCCTCTGGTTTATCAATCTCAAAGGTTTTATAGCTGCCGCGTTTCAAAGTCGACTAAACACTATTTGGCTCACCATAACCATCACTGTTGACGACTACGCGAAGACCCAACGGCACAAAAAGGGTATTGGTTCCTATTTTATTTCGGTGGTTCTATATTTCGGTGTTCCAGCCCTATTGGAAGCTGAAGGGAGTTAAGCGCTGGGCATCCTCCAAACCCGTGCTTCCCCCACTTGTCGTCTTTTGCTTCCAGTGTTGAGAAATCCACCACAAAGACAGCTCGTGAGGTTCATTGCCCGGCTGTACTGCAATTAAACGAGGCGGTTCTCGTCCCTAATAACAGACAGCGGCACACAGATCGGTTTTATTTTAAATCGACTGAAACTTGTTCTGGATTTTGTACATCCGTGAGTACAACTTCCCGCAGTCCTTCCCAGCACCCCCGGAGTTGATCGTCGTTGCGTGCACAACGACTTTCGGCGTGCTGCTTTTCCTTTTTCCACTTGACAACCAGCCAGTTTTTGACCGGGCACTTGTTGATCGTTGGAGCACCGGGACGCCTATACCCGTAAAAGTCAAGGGGTTTTTCCAGCCTCTTGTAGTCTTCTGCAGCCAGTCTCTTACAGACTCAGAAGACAAGTCTCCGTATTCACATCTGCAATCGACCAACTTCGGTCGGTCATTTTGCTGATTGTTGAATACGGCGGTAAACGGATTTAAGAAGGTCAAGGGAGTTTAAAAGTCTATAGAAAAGAGACCACTCCTTGTTCCAATTCGTTGGGACCTTCGCTTCTGTTCTGACCTGCAAGACGTTCAAGAAAACCAGGAAAGCCTGCCAGCAATCCTTGGGACTAGTGTGACCGTAGGGTATCCACTAGTACGGAACGTCAATTCCTCGAGCCCTTTTCGTTAGGGATTTACTCGACCGACCTTTGCACCTAAGAAGTTTTGGGACAGGCATCGTCCCTAGAGTCTTCGCTCTCGTGAGAGGACTCTTCCCCTACTTTTCCACCCCACAACAACAAACCAGAAATGCCAACTACTCGGAGCGGTATGAACTCTACACCCGCTCCTCCTGCCGGTGCTGCCAACCAACCTGTCAGCCCTGCTACTTCAACTGTTGGCAATACTGCCGGTACGCCCGCCAATGCTACCGCGCCACCTGGTCGTACCCTTGCAAGCCTTGAGTTTGCTGTCACAACCCTCTTTCGAGAGCCCCTAGACAGCCCACTCATGCGTGCTCTTCGTCGCGATGGATGCTTGCACTTCATGCACCTCCTCTCCTACAACGAGAATGAGCTCCTTGCATTGAAGTATGATGCACCCGTCATTGACCAATATGGGGTGGATACTGGCCAAACTCAGCTTACTCAGCTTGAGCAGCCCCATCGTGGCACTCTTCGGGCTTTACTTGGGTATGCTTACCTTTGTCAAAACGTCCATGGCAATCCGATCACCCCAATCAATTGCATGAACATTGACGTACAAGCATTCTTCATTTATCAATGTAGTGGTGACTTTATAGTTTTTAATAAGTCCTTTTTACCACAACCTCTTGTCTCCAAGCCTGATCATGGCAAACCTATTGACTCGTCCCTTGATCCTCTCCTTCCAACACAGATGGAGACAAAGCCAGACAGCCATCTAGCCACCGTACACAACGAATTTGCACCCAAACATGGGGAGCTACAATGGCCAATGAGCGACGAATCAGACCGCCAAGCTACAGTAGACGTGATCAGTAATCAGTATAGTGACACTACTAGTCCTACATCTATCCTTTCTGCTGCTCTACAACCTAGCATTTGCACGTCTGACGGTGTCAATATACCCAATGGTAGTCGTGCCACACAACTTGTTGGCGCACAAAGCGCCATGAGTAGACCGACACTGAACAAGGGTTACATTGCACATGATGTCAGATTCGACCCCAACCTTGAATGGGACCAAACTCTATTGGATCCCAACATTGACAGGCTGGACAAACCGGGCAAAGGTGAGAGACCATTTGATAGAGTAGGCATCCTAAAGAGTAGTAAAAGTATTTTAACTCTGAATGAAGCCTCTGAAGATGAGACTCTTGACCAACCAGATGATTTCACCACTGCTATGGACCTGAATGACAATGGCATTGGTAATGCCACACTTGTCTCCAACCTTGACTGGGACCAAACTTTATCGGACCCAAACATTGGCGATCTTGGCCGTAGTGTCTCTGCCAACAGCACTAGCCATGACTTGCTCCTTCAGTTGCCGGAAGCGAGCATGGGGAGTGATTCTAATGCTCTTCTTCCTGAACAAGATAAGACTGAGGAGTACTCAATGGATTTGGAGAATGGGGAGCAACAGTGTGTCATGTCTGATAAGTTGGCCGTCGTACCGACTACCAAGCATCATCCGCCTACACCTCCACAAGAAGCCAAGCAACACGATTTAACATTCAATGGAGAAAAATATAGATCGGTTAATAACCATACTATGATCTATTCTATCCAGAAAGTCAACACTTGTAAACACCTAGCTTTGATTGATAGAGGTGCCAATGGCGGCATTGCTGGAGATGATGTCCGCATCATCCACAAATCCAACCGTACTGTTGACATACAAAGCATTGACAACCACCAAGTGACTGATATCCCTATCGTCACTTTGGCTGGATTAATCCACACCCAACGTGGACCTGCCAATGCCATCATGCACCAACAAGCCTACATTGGAAAGGGTCAATCCATTCTGTCCAGTGGTCAAATGTAACACTTCAAGATTGTCGTGGACGACAAGTCTACCAAAGCTGGTGGTCAGCAACGCTTGACAACACCAGATGGCTTTGTCTTACCACTTGACATCAGGAATGGCCTTCCATACCTACGAATGCGACCACCAACAGATCGTGAACTGAGTAATCCTGACATTCCACATGTCGTACTCACCTCTGACGGTGATTGGGATCCAAGTGCACTGGATCATTCGATCGAGGATATGGAAGAATTGGCAAAGTCCGTTCCCGACTACAATTCTGAAGATGAAGAACGTCCGTTTGATCTTGTAGGAGTCCTTAAGAATAATAAAGCTCTTACTTCTTTCAAGGAACCTAAACTAGATGGAACTATTGATTATTTTCAGAATTTCAATTGTGTTCTTCCAACTGATGGACTGTACGAGCAGCGCCATCGAGCATCTGAAGACCTTACCTGGTTTGACTGTAACATGGCTGATCTATTTGGCTTTGATGCATCACTAGAAGATTCACCCATCCCTGAGTGTTTTGAGGTCTATGAGGCTTGTAAGCGTCCTTCAGTACTGTTTGACCCAGGACAACCAGTCAACTACGATATTGAGTCAGCTACTTTGGAGGCCAATTCTTTCAAGGACCTCATACTTGATTCGGACAAGCCTACTCTGAAGCGCAACCCACGCCATAAGGCTTGGACGACACCTCATGGGGAGTCAGATCGTTGTCCACCGCCAAGAGTACATTTCGATGATACTCTGACTGTCCACGAGAGTAGTAGTCAAACCATAGCTACTATAAAGAACTCTACACTAGAGGGTACTGTTGCTTTCCTTACTGACTTTGTACTGGAAGACGACTTGCTCCAACAGTTGCCGGAAACGAGCATGGGGAGAGATGATGCTACTAGTGCTCTTTCTCCTGTACATGGTGGAAACAAGTCAGATAGAGAGTCCGACCAAACAATAGATGAGATAGCCACTGATGAATCTATTTTAGTTTGTACTCTTGGGATCCTTGAAGCTACTCTAGACTGTACTCTTGACTCCCTTGGGCCACTCGACTTCGATCTGATCAACCGTGGATTGAGCACCGCTAACATTCCATACGCCATGCGCATTCCTAAGCATTGTGCTGATCATCACCAAAATGTATTGGACTCCACGGCTATTGCAACTGGAGAAGCTAAGCCAGCATTCAATCAAGTAGACAGTGACTCCCTTGGGCCACTCGACTTCGATCTGATCAACCGTGGATTGAGCACCGCTAACATTCCAAACGTCATGCTCATTCCTAAGCATTGTACTGATCATCACCAAAATGTATTGGACTCCACGGCTATTGCAACTGGAGAAGCTAAGCCAACATTCAATCAAGTAGACAGTCATAATTGTAATAGAGCCTTACCCTTTACTACTATGAACGGACATCCTGCTTTAGATTGTGCAATTGACTTCTTCCAATCCTTTGTCTATGCGAATCCAATAGATGGACTCCATGAAGTCCATCATCCACCAACTTCTGAACTAGCTAGACTTGAACGTAGCATGGAAGATCCTATCAACCTGGATCGCACCAGTGCAACTCAAGTTGCACCACCAGAGCTTGAGATCTATCAGTCTCACAAACAACCCTCAACTCAAGAGGCGCACTTTGAGCTGGTGTTGTATCAATCTCACAAGCAATCCTCAGCACAAGAGGCGCGCTTTGATGATGATACTCGAAAGCCTGATGGGAGAAATGGTCCACCACCTTGCAACAGTTTTGAGCATGGGTTACAACCAACTGAGGTTGAACTGAAGAACCCAAGGTCGGCTGTGAAGTCTCATGAACGCAATTGGGAGCGCCTTCGCAGCTACTTTGCATGGTTGCCCAAGCAAGTCATCCAGAAGAACTTGGAACACTACTTGGAAGACTCAACTCAACTAGCTACGATAACTACTATAGATATTACAATATTGGTGCCATCCAACTTTGTATCTACATCTAATTGGACATACATTGATGACTGGAGAACTTTGTCAATTGGACGGAAGCAATTTGAACAAAGACTACTAGCTAAGGATGAAATGGTAAAATTTATCCACTTAGCAACTTGTCTATCTACCAACGCTTTCCACATGAAGCAATCGACCACTTCAACTGAAGACCAAATGGATTCTGACCGTATTGTTGCTCAGATTCACGGGGAGCAGACAACTGGTCTGCAACCTCTGCTTGAAGGCAATGAGCCACTCCTTGATGGCTTGCCTTGGCATATAACTAAACAGTACAAGACGACATTGTACCAACTACACATATGGCATACCTTGTTGCCATTACATCATATGAACAAAGTTTTTCACCTACAAAGGTTTTCTTTGCCTCATATTGATGGACCCAAGGCTACTGAGACTGTTGCCAACAGCTCACCAAGACCTAATACGAAAGCAGACAACCAACATGTTGTACTGTCGTTACACCGTGTAAGAGAGGCTATTGCATCCAATATGCTCCCCTTTCTATACACCGAAGATGCTAAACACCAGGCCAATATCCTTAGCAAACAATATCAACAAAGTGGCCACAGCTACATGCACTACTTTTCTGAGTAGATGACACAGCTGAGGAGGATTAGGTCCTCACTCACTCACCCATTTGGGGAGTGACAGAATTGTATCAAGAACGGGTTTCATGACTCGGACCAATACGATTTGTACGTTAGCAGTCTTACAGGTCTTATAGTAATTAATAGTAAAATAGATATGATGACGTGTCCTCGGATGAGAACAGTTGGAACTTTGCGCACCAAGCGCATCAACTGTTCGTCAATTCCCCATCGACTCATCCCGTCGTGTTTTGTTTACCTTGAATTGATATCCTATCTTCTAGTGTAATCTCGAGCGTTCACCCAAGAATAATTATATTCTGTCAAATTTCGCAGGGCGCAAGGTGGAGATGGTAGCTTCTTTATTAGGTGTGGACAATAAATTAGGAGAATACATCCTCCATTTGCTCAAAGTTGCATACAGTAAGATTGCCAACTTGTATGTGGGATTTTATGACACTTGTTTGGACTCCAGGATCACCAGCAGCAGTATTGTTGTTGTCATTTTCATCATCATCCTTGTTGGCATCTTCATCATCGTCATCACTGTCATCTTCATCATCATCCTTGTCGCTGTCTACATCATCATCATTGTCATCATCTTCACCATCCTCTACATCACCATCTTCATTGGTGGCATCGTCCTCCTTTTTGTCTCCGCCAGCTGCATCACAATCTTCTCTCGCCTGTTTCTGTTGTCCCATGGTGCCAAACATTAATGAAGTCATTGTTTTCTTGAGAATGTTCTTGTCTTTCCGCTTCATTTCTCTAGGATCAGAGTTGACATACAGGAAAAATATCCGGGCAAGAACCAAGGACTTCCAGAGCCCCCACGGTCTTTTCTGGTTCTTTTTCAGTCCGTCTTCCGTGATGGAATAATGCTGGTTCCGCGAAAAGATTTTTGCCAATCTTTTCATTTCCCCCGCCATAATATCCACGGACTCCTAGGGTTTAGTTTGGAGTGCCCACTTTCCAACTTGTTCTGCAAAGGCGGTTGCAGCAGATGGATCATGTGGATCTTTCCAAAATTTGTCAAGCTCTGTCTTGAACTTCTGGATCCGCTCCGGACAGTGATATACAACACCAATGTCCCTCAACAACTTAATAATGTCAGACTTTGTTTTGCATCGGCCGGCCGTCATGTTTTGGCAGTACACCAAAAAGCTTTGCTCGTGCACAGCTCCTAAAGGACCAGCAGTGGGACTGAATACATACTTGATGATCTGAAAGGAAAGCCATGTGATCTCAACCTTTTCCATGGTGTCTTTACGATATTTCTCAACACCAGAAAAGGTGAAGGGCTGGCTGGTAGAGGAGTCCAAACTAGAGCTGGAATCACCATCATCTGTTTCCTCACCTGATTTGTCACTTGGCTCCTGTTCGGATTTGATCAAGTAGCTGCTGCATAGCTTTTTGTCTTTGGATATTGCCTGCAGCTGTTTCTGCATCTCACCAATAGCAGCCGAAAGTGTCTCACCCGGTTCAAAAATAAGATGGAATTTGCAGAAGCCTTGGGATTTGGAAAACAGGAAACCAGAAATTTGATCGTGGTAGAACTTGTTGGTCTTGGCCCCTTTGAAAGCGCTCGTCTTGCATAAAGCATTCAAGGTGTAATGGCAGTCTTGCTGGTAGGTCTTCTTGTTTTTTTTCATTATGTTTTGAAAGAGAGCGTATAAAATCATGGTCTTATCGGTCCATTCCTCCTTGTATTGATCAACAGTTTTGGTCACAACCGTTGTCACTTTAGTTAATGGGCAGCTACCTTCTTCTTCATTGAGTTCATCATCCTCATCTTCTTTGGACCAGGATTTATCCGAAGAGTGCTTGTCCTTGGCCTTTACTTCATTGTCATCGTCATCGTCATTGTCATCATCATCGTCGTTGTCATCATCATCGTCTTCATCATCATTATCATCATCGTCATCATCATCATCATCATCATCATTGGAGTCTTCTTCCTCTTCCAGAGTGCTGGAGGCTTCATTTTCCTTGTTCTCCTCAGGGGCTTTGCTTCCCTCCACACCCTTGTCGTCCTTGGACTCCAATACCATTGGATGCAATATCATGTATTCTTTAGATGCTTTATCATTTTCAATAATCGTGCAACATTTCCATTGTTGACATGGAAAGGTGTATGCTTCACCTGGAGTGCACCGAAAGTGAAGAAGGTCAACATCAGGTGTCCTCAATTCCCGTCTTGCCACGTTCTCAAACACTAGTAGCATGTGAGTCAGTACCATCTTTGAACTCAAAGACAACATTTCTTTCCATTCCTGGAATGCTTCAAGACCGTGGGAATGTTCGGAATTGTCTTCACATTTTGGAGCGGCAAAGACAAGGGAAAAGCAACCCTGCAGTGGAACAAAAGTTGCCGAGTGAATTCCAGATACTACTAACGAAGGATCCATTTGTATAAGACCGGATGTGGGTTTCCTAGTGTAGTCCCGTACCAACATCCGGCAAGGGCCTTGTCGCCATCAAGAGTGGGAGCGTTCATTCTGCTTAAGAGACTGGAGAAGCCCAAGTGGTCCGTCCTTCCAATTTGAAGCTGATAACAATTGGAAATAGCCCGTTTGTGGTTTGGGTCCTGTTCAAGGAAGTTCAAAGTAGGATTATTGTGGTATTTTGGATTGTCCATTTTGTCACCAGGAATATAGACGACCGGCATGAAAAGGAGACTACAAACACTGTCAGACTTATTCCTATTTTCATTGAAACTCTTGGAAACCGATATTTGTCTGACACAAGAATCGTTGCCGATGAGTCCGGCAGCACCTTTGGCAACTCCATGTTCAAATTTGGAGATGTAGAAAGATGGTTGTGGGATGTAGATAGATGGTTGTGGGATGTTTGGAGCCAACATGATGTTGCTATGCAATTTGAATTTTCAAATCGGTCTTGGATTGTATGAAAATTCTGGTACTGGGGCAGCGCAGCAGCCCTACAATACTAGGCTGAAGGAGGAAAGTGCAAAAAGTTGGATACCGCTTGAGGATTGGCACGTCAAAATGTACATAAAATAAAGTACTAGAAATTGTCGTGACGGGCTCGCTGCGTCAAGACCAAAACCAACAAACACAGAAACTGTTTTCAAAACCGGAGGAAACAGCAATGGATTCCAAGTGCAATGGATAGGAAGGAATCACTGTGCCCAACAAACAACAAACAGTATGATTATTGGCTTCAGAAGGTGATGAGCAAGGTTGCTCTTTGAAAGGACAACTGGAGATTGAAATCAATTGAAGTCAAATACCATTGCTGTGGGCAGATGTGTTTGATGTGTTGGTGCAGCGCCGGCCGATTTTGAGTTCTGATGGTGCAAAATTGTACAGAAAAAAACCGTACCAACCTTGGTATGCTCACAGAACATCACCGGCCTGTACATTTGCCAGGATATTGGTACTTCTCCACGTACCGGCAGTCTGAGAAGTCAGCCACCCATGGAACATCTTCAATGATCAACCAGAACGGTTTTATTCCGTGCTGGTGGAGGAGGAAACAATCAACAAACGAACGCGTCTAAACTACCTATTGAAATGATGTTCAAGCACCTCTGAGCCAATTACAATTTCTATGCTTTCGTATTGCAGAGTGAATCCAAAATTGGGGGCTTATTGCGCCGCGATTTTTGATGTCTCAAATACTTCCAAGATCCGAAGCATGAAAGTTCTGTCAGAAGTGACGGCAGCTGGTCTTGTGTCAACAACAAACCATTTGGAAACAAGGTGAATCAAGGCATGAAAGCGAACGCAACTCTTAGGAGTTGATATTATTGCTATGATAATGATGAAACGCTTACTTATATTATCTGTCGAATCCAACACAGCTGGATTCGACAGATAATATATGGCGTCCTCAATTGACTCAATATTTTGGGAACCAAGAAAGATGAGTAATGGCCAACACGAGGCTAGATTTAAACGTAAAGAGACTAAGTGTGTATTCGACGATTGAAGGCATGCAATAATCCACCGGTTTCAAGTAAGACTTGCAAGAGAAAATATTGGCAGAAACCTTTTTTGGGTTCCGTGACGGCCGACGCCGCGATAGGAAAATCTGTGACAGGAGTATGATCATAGATGATGCTTTCAGACTCTTGAATTGCATATTCTGCTTGAGCGAGAATACAATCCGCCTTGATGCAAGCATTGGAGACAATGGCTTGGTTCCAAAGGTGAAGAGACTAGTACGGTATCAGCAAAAGCAGTTGATTTCTTTTTTTTAGAGGCATTCTGCCTTCAGCGAAGACTGAACAATACTCAACACAATATAGTACCCTAACAAGATTAAAAATCAATGTCTACCATTTGATGTATCCGTCAACTCATGTAGAAGTAGTCAATTTCGGTTTGCCAATCTACAATCCCATTCTTAGGGCCAGCTAGAAGTGATCCTATGGGATCTACAGGGCTTCCTTGTGATTGAGGGCTAAGGTTGGCCATTGAAACAAGGTGTCTAGTTGTTTGATATGGAACTTCTCGAACATAAGGGCCAAATCCAACTAACAAAGTACCATTTTGTGCGCCATAATTTTTTGCAGTACATTTTGGTACATTTTATACGGCACTCTACATTAACTTTCACTGGCACAGATAATTCTGTAGATGCATACCATGTTTCTACTGCTAGTAGCCTTTCTGTAGCCTGGAACATGAAAGGCTTCTTACTTCGTTTGGAACATGAACATCTCACAATTGAAAAAGCAAAAGGCTAACTCTTAAAAAGGACAATGCCTCATAGCAGCGGTGAGAAGAGAGGTAGCTCATCTTCATCCAATAACCATGAGAAAGAGAATCAAAAGAGGTGGAGGTTAAAAGGCAAGTCCATCAGATTCCAATGCCGTGTTTCATCCCCACCTTTTCTAACATGGTTGTCTTTTTGCTAGAGGCAGCATTGGCCCGCAAACAGGCGGAGGCAGAAAGAGAAATGCAGTCCACACCAGAGAGACCACTGGCAACCAATACTACGGTAGCCCCCCTTCTGTACCTACAGAAGAGTACAACCCAGCAGGAGTTGACTCCCAACTTCGGAAGAGTGCAGGGATACGTAAAGCACTGCAAGACGAACAAGAGGCTGACACTGGAGCTGATGCCATGGAGCAAGAAGCTGATGCAGGGGAAACTACTGTACCATGTCCAGAGCCTCCAGCACCTCAAGCACCCAATAGGGCAACCGCTGACCCTCAGTACTTGCCCAAGGAAGAGCAGCTAGAGATACTGAGAAGGAGTGCCACTAAGGAGATGATCCAAATGAATTTGAACAAGTTTGTTGGCAAACACATTTTTCCTAGTGCAAAGTTCCCACTATCTGAATTGCACAACAAGGCTGTATGCAAGTTGGCCGTAGGGTCAGAGGTGGTGAGGTTAGACCAAGGGGTGGACCCAGAAGTATTTGCGGAAGAGTACCACAAGAGTGTGAAAGAACGGATGGCGGCATTGCGACTGAATTGTCACAATGCTGCAAGATCAAAGTTTCTAAGTAAGTGATTTCAATTTTTTGATATTTGGAAGAAGTCTCCTGTTGGTGTCTGACCCTCGTTTCTGCAAATTCCATTTACTACCAGATGACCTGAAGCTTGACAAAGTCCCATCCGATAGCCTGGTGGTCGATCTCCTGGAAAAGAACACTGATGCAGCTGTTGGATACAGGAGTTGTGGCCAAGGATATCAAGACTACCTGACAAAGGATGGCACAAAAGTTTTGCAAGCAAGGTCGGGGCAGTACCAATCCTTTCATTACCTAGTGAAACGGATCATGCCAAACACCAAATTTGATGTGCGGAAGCAGGATGAGACGATCAGCAACATCTTCACCCAATAGGGCAACCGCTGACCCTCAGTACTTGCCCAAGGAAGAGCAGCTAGAGATACTGAGAAGGAGTGCCACTAAGGAGATGATCCAAATGAATTTGAACAAGTTTGTTGGCAAACGCATTTTTCCTAGTGCAAAGTTCCCACTATCTGAATTGCACAACAAGGCTGTATGCAAGTTGGCCGTAGGGTCAGAGGTGGTGAGGTTAGACCAAGGGGTGGACCCAGAAGTATTTGCGGAAGAGTACCACAAGAGTGTGAAAGAACGGATGGCGGCATTGCGACTGAATTGTCACAATGCTGCAAGATCAAAGTTTCTAAGTAAGTGATTTCAATTTTTTGATATTTGGAAGAAGTCTCCTGTTGGTGTCTGACCCTCGTTTCTGCAAATTCCATTTACTACCAGATGACCTGAAGCTTGACAAAGTCCCATCCGATAGCCTGGTGGTCGATCTCCTGGAAAAGAACACTGATGCAGCTGTTGGATACAGGAGTTGTGGCCAAGGATATCAAGACTACCTGACAAAGGATGGCACAAAAGTTTTGCAAGCAAGGTCGGGGCAGTACCAATCCTTTCATTACCTAGTGAAACGGATCATGCCAAACACCAAATTTGATGTGCGGAAGCAGGATGAGACGATCAGCAACATCTTCACCCAATAGGGCAACCGCTGACCCTCAGTACTTGCCCAAGGAAGAGCAGCTAGAGATACTGAGAAGGAGTGCCACTAAGGAGATGATCCAAATGAATTTGAACAAGTTTGTTGGCAAACGCATTTTTCCTAGTGCAAAGTTCCCACTATCTGAATTGCACAACAAGGCTGTATGCAAGTTGGCCGTAGGGTCAGAGGTGGTGAGGTTAGACCAAGGGGTGGACCCAGAAGTATTTGCGGAAGAGTACCACAAGAGTGTGAAAGAACGGATGGCGGCATTGCGACTGAATTGTCACAATGCTGCAAGATCAAAGTTTCTAAGTAAGTGATTTCAATTTTTTGATATTTGGAAGAAGTCTCCTGTTGGTGTCTGACCCTCGTTTCTGCAAATTCCATTTACTACCAGATGACCTGAAGCTTGACAAAGTCCCATCCGATAGCCTGGTGGTCGATCTCCTGGAAAAGAACACTGATGCAGCTGTTGGATACAGGAGTTGTGGCCAAGGATATCAAGACTACCTGACAAAGGATGGCACAAAAGTTTTGCAAGCAAGGTCGGGGCAGTACCAATCCTTTCATTACCTAGTGAAACGGATCATGCCAAACACCAAATTTGATGTGCGGAAGCAGGATGAGACGATCAGCAACATCTTCACCCAATAGGGCAACCGCTGACCCTCAGTACTTGCCCAAGGAAGAGCAGCTAGAGATACTGAGAAGGAGTGCCACTAAGGAGATGATCCAAATGAATTTGAACAAGTTTGTTGGCAAACGCATTTTTCCTAGTGCAAAGTTCCCACTATCTGAATTGCACAACAAGGCTGTATGCAAGTTGGCCGTAGGGTCAGAGGTGGTGAGGTTAGACCAAGGGGTGGACCCAGAAGTATTTGCGGAAGAGTACCACAAGAGTGTGAAAGAACGGATGGCAGCATTGCGACTGAATTGTCACAATGCTGCAAGATCAAAGTTTCTAAGTAAGTGATTTCAATTTTTTGATATTTGGAAGAAGTCTCCTGTTGGTGTCTGACCCTCGTTTCTGCAAATTCCATTTACTACGAGATGACCTGAAGATTGGCAAAGTCCCATCTGATAGCTTGGTGGTTGATCATCTGGAAAAGAACACTGATGCAGCTGTTGGATACAGGAGTTGTGGCCAAGGATATCAAGACTACCTGACAAAGGATGGCACAAAAGTTTTGCAAGCAAGGACGGGGCAGTGCCAATCCTTTCATTACCTAGTGAAACGGATCATGCCATCAATCAATTGCACAAACACCAAATTTGATGTGCGGAAGCGGGAGGAGACAATCAGCAACATCTTCACCGTGAGTGACGAGGCATTTGCCCTGGTGCTACTTGAGAACTATGAGAGTTGTTGGAGGAAACAGCATGAGGATCCCAAATCAACAAGACTCCGAGGTAAGGAACCTGCTGCTATAAGCAAGGAGTTCAATGCCAAATTCACATCAAGTGACGATGGCTTGAAGCTGAAGTCATCTGGTTGGAGTCGACAGGGAATTGAAAGCTACAACGAGAAGTTGAGTTCAATTGGTAAGTTAAGAAGGCAATCCCGCACAGGGGCAGCCCTAGAAGAGTACGAACTGTGGAAGCTGCGCGGTGGAGCAGACATTTATGTAAAGGGCACAGTGCCTCCTACTGCAAACGAGAGACAGATACCTATTGCTGAAGGATCGCTGGCTGTCCTTCCTGAAGCATTGGAAAGTATGTTTGCAGAGGTCTAGCCTCGTCAATAGATTGTCATTAAATCGTCAAATAAAGCAAATTTGTTTGTGATATAAGCAAAAGGATCTTTCCAATACATTCATAATCTGTATGCCCTTTAATCACCATTGACTGTTCTTCAGAAGGCAAGGAAACTCTGTTTTGTAGGTCATTGTAGTTGTCATAAATTGACAAGGATCTGGTCCTTTTAAGGCGTTGGCCATTTGATGAGATGACATGGACAATGAGAAAGAGGAAGCCATCAGATGGCTCTCAATCAAATGGGTCCACTTCAAAAGGTCTTTCCGATGTCCTTAAAAGACAAATCCGGTGGGTGGAAAATCAAAAATGCATATGATCGAAATCACGGTCAGACGGCTTCGCATCCCAAGGTTCTGCGACAAAATCAAATGGGAACTTTCCAAAAATGAGAAGGTTATTTTCCTCAAAAAGACAATTTCCTTGTCATAAAAAGGACAGGGGTTCTCATCTATCACATAGGCTTCACATGGGGTGGTGATAAAAAACACGGTGCCCTTGTCCTTTTTACCCAATTAAACTGTCAATTAAGGGAATTTCGCTATAGCATTAAGGGGGAAGTACTGGACAATATAGGACAAGTTCCATGACACCCAAAAGCACTAGGCAGCTGTTTCAGATGCTCAAGCAAGTATAAAGTCACCTGTCCATGAGTAAAGTCAGGATTGTGAGGATGGTATTGCTTTGGTCATTTGGTCGTCCTTCCATGAGACCCTCGACCAGTCTGCCGTCTCTTTCTTGTTGTCTTTCACCAGGCATCTTGCTTTGTAGTCCCTCCTACTTTGCAACGTTCAAAAGTTACCTCTTGTTGATTGACTGTCAGATAATCAACTCAGTAGTTGTAATGAGAGCCTCAACACTCTAGCTACCTCTGGAGTAGATCTGAGCTGGAATCTACATTGGCTATGGATTGCCTACAATAGGAACAGGTGCCAGTGATGCTTGGCTTCTACCTGCGGATGAACAGTCTCACCACTTCCTATTTGATTTTATTCTACTGCTTTTCTTGCCAGAAGCCGATCAACAATGATCTCCACAAGCAGGTACAAAAAATCTCTTCCGGAAGCCATCTGTGTCAGCTCTAACCAGCTGTTGCAGCGTATAAAGCACATACGCACATGTTCTTCACAAACTAGTCACAGATCCGGATCTATCTTCAATACTTATCTATCTCTGTACATACTTGAACCATACTCCCGTCCCCATTTGATACCAAAAATATCCGACTTCCCTGTCCGACATGTTTGACTGTTGTTTCATACATTAGGATCCCATTTCACCAACATCATGTCAGCGGCCGCCACATTGAACAGCGCTACCAATGCTTCCAGCAGAAGAGGTTGCTGGAACAGGTGCAGCTGCAGTTTCTTTGTTTTGTTGGTGGTCTTGATTGTGCTCACACAAAGTGTTCAATTTGGCAATGTAACGTTCACTCATCAGGCAACTGTTAGTACATTCACAGGCTTGGAGGACAACTAGACAATCATGATTGGAGGAACAGTTCCAAGTATCTTGGGAATAATCACCACTATTGAGGATGGTTGTGACATGCACGATCGGACTTTGATTGTGATGTCAGGATTTGATGCAAGTCTGCCAGACAATCTATATCCACACAAAAAGGGAACGACCCTATACAAGTGGAATATTGATGTTGTGTACGATCCAGTAAGGAATAATACAAGATGTCCCAAAGTACTGCATTCAACACAAAATCCTCGTAGAAGTCAAATCAAGTTCTGTAAGCAAGGGATTTTCCAAAGGGTTAGGGTTGGAAAATCGTTGAACTCACTTTTGTGATTGAATCATCAATTCAAGCCAAACATTAATCAAATAGGAACAATTTCACTATAGTATATCTAACACAGAAAAACTATTGCCATGAAAGTGTTGTACAGTCAATTACAAATTTAGATTGCAGAGAGTTTGTTCTGAGCGCTAAAGGCACTCATGATAGAGCACATTTTGCTTATTTCTAACAGAACTGGTCATTTCCACCAAGACACCATATTCATCAAGTTCAGAGAGCGCATGTTTGCGACAAGCAAGAAGCTAATAGGCTTCAGGAAATCCATTGGGATTTGTAAGCCCAAGTTTACATCAATACGTGAATGTGAATATTGATTGCGATCTTTGTGTTTCAGACGTTGGAGGGGCACATCATTCACAATTATACCAAAATCTCAAAGTTGACATATTCATCAAGTTCAGATAGCACAGGTTTGCAACAAGCGAAGAAGCTTATAGGCTTCAGGAATTCCATTGGGAATTGTAAGCCCAAGTTTTCATCAATAATTTAATGCAAATACGGATTGCAAGCTTCGCATTTCAGATGTTGGAGGGGCACATCATTCACAATTATACCAAAATCTCGAAGTTGATCTACACAAAGGAGATAGCACATTCATGGGCTTGGAGGACAACTTGACAGGAGAAACCGTTCCAAGCATCTTTGGAAGAGCCACCATTGTTGAGGATGGTTGTGCCATCATGGGACCATACAGTACCATTGTGGTTTTGACTACCACCTCGTCGGCAACCTACGCCATGACCATTTCTCCATGCAATTATCACAGCGTCAACAAGACACAATTTCAAAACACAGAAAACAAAATAAAAATATGCCGCCTCAAGTGGCAAGATCGTCTCTCTACATGTGCAAGGGTGCAATGTAATATGCGATAGAGCAACTTCCTTGGGATTGGATGCCTCAAACTGGTTCAACAGTACTGGACTCACCTCCGTATGGTAAATGGCCATGACAGCCGTTAACGGCAATCTAGAAACTTGAGATAGTTTTAACACGATTAATGCATCAGATTTATTATTATTATTCCTGCAAACATGGAGGTGGCAGTGCCACTGAAGATCACTTGTGGACAAGGGGCATGGCGCTCCTGAGTTTCCACATGAAACTTCCAGTCGCGACGCCAAATGTCCAGGTTTCCAGCACACTTGAAATACAAAAGGATGATTGTAGCTTGATGGAGGGAGGCCAAGAGCAGTAGGTAGGCCTCCAACTCTGCGCCCAAAACAGCCTCCTTGAAATTCCACAAAGCAACAATACACCTTGCCTTTGAGCTCCATCACTCCCCCACACGACCGACGACAACTGGCCTTGAAATTGTAAAAAACAATCTCTCCAGCTGCCGCCTCGGGCGAGAAAAACGGAAAGGTCTCCACGGTGCGGCTGATGTTGGATCCAGCGCTGCGACCGCTCCTTCTTTCGTCCAAGCTTCTTGCGCTGAGGAAAGACCGCCTCTGTGGGTCAGTTCCATGGCGACTGTCGGCTCTTAGCCCTTCTTGGCTCTTGGCGCGTCGCACTTTTGCAAGTTCAATGGGAAGAAGAAAGACACAGTGGGAGCGGTGGAAATACAACAATCAGCTCATACAACGTTACGAAATGCTTACCATTCCCACCACCCTTTTTTCCATGTAGATAAAGTTGTCAATCGGTTTGGACGACGACAAGCCTGTCGCTTGTCTGATGACCGCCAGAACCGAAATCCAACTCCTCTGCCACGTCCATTTCTCCATGCAATTCTTGCAACTTCCATCTTTCAGTGTTTTTTGTGTTGTTGTAAAAAAACAAGACACAATTTCAATATTTGGTTTTGTAATTTTTTTCAGTTTCTGATCGGAGTGGTATAATGCAATTTTGCATGACTACGTCAATGTGAGATCTTAATTAACGGTACATCCGCCACTTGTCAGACCCTTTTATGGCGGAAGCGCCATCTTCTAAAATCATACATAGACCTAAAATAAAAATTTTCTCCATACAGAAGTCTTAGCTTAGGTCCTTATCTTACATCCTATTGGGTGGGGTCATCGTGATTGTGCTCTAGACATTCACTGCAGTTGAGAAGGTAATTGATGTTTTGGACAGCAATTCAGATCATTGATTGTTTTGGTGCCTTATGAGTACAGTGTGACCTGAAAGCACTCGTGGGCAATCTGAGTTCTGACTTGTAGCTGGATTGGAGAATTCTTTGATGAATTTCAGGCACATTTTGTAAGTTGTAAATTTTCAATTTCAGTCCACCACTGTTAGAATAAAGCAAAATGTGCTCTATCGTGAGTGCCTTTAGCGCTCAGAACAAACTCTCTGCAATCTAAATTCATAATCGACTGTACAACACTTTCACGACAATAGTTCTCCTGTGTCTAGGTATACTTTGAGTGAAATTGTTCCTATTTGATTAATGTTTGGCTTGAATTGATGATTCAATC